ATGTGATGATGTCATCTGCGAAATTCGAAAGTTCTGATATAATATCAATATAGGGCTTTTATCAATGAGGTTAAATTGACAATTGAATTAGTAAAATTTGGCTGAAATTTTCAACAATTCCTTTGAGTACCCACTGCTTGCTTATATTTTTAACATGTATAATTCGAAACAGCAGTAGCTATAATTATTCTAAAATAATTGCAGCAACGATTAATTGATATAATTAAAATACAATTAGCGGGGGTTAATAATTTAAAGTAAAAAAGGTTGAAATAAATTGTCGATTATTGAAGCCCAAAGACGTGAATAGAATTGGAAATGTACCGGTCTGCAGTTGAGAGCCTGTATAAGGGAGCACATTTCATTATCGTGTAGCAGTATCTGCATTCGAAGCGAGAGATGCTGCGAGCGAGCGAGCTAGGCTACACGTCTCTCTCACTAGGTATATACATACACCCATGTATTTGCATCAGTATGGTATGTTTGCAGTACTATATAAGTACGACTATATGTACGCGCGTGTGTGTGTCTGTGTCTGTGTTACGTCTATAAATGTGAGTGTATAATATAAATGGGAGAGGAGCGTAATAGCGGCAGTATATGCAGACGTACGACGCATATATACTCTCTCGGCAACAGCAGCAGCAGCAGCCTCGTTATGAGCAAATGTGTTAAGGGTCTCTTGCAAGTATCTCCAGATTTAGTTTCTTATGCGCCCGACGACTCGTCCTTTGCTTTTGCTGCTGCTGTTGCTCTCTAGTATGTATACATTACAGCACCTTATCCCCTTACGCACTCGTTAACGTGTCTATATACGACGGAATCTCAAGTAGTTCGTGTCGCCAACGGGTCGAACATACACTGCAGACACGTATACAAGTATATAATATATAGCCATCAAATTCCTTGGACTCTTTGCGAGTCAAGAATCGTGGCGCACTTTCAGCTATTAAATAAAATAAATTCAAAACTACAGTGATTTTTTTTCTACTCGTTGCGATTTCTCTGGTTTTCCATAGTCAGATTTCCATCGAGTTTAACTCGGCAAAAAGTAAATAAGCAAAACCAGTGAATAAATAAGAATGCTGAATTCTCTGCAAATCAAACAAGCTTAATTAACTTGTATTATTTTAAATATGCAACTCGAAGTTTCTTAAAATACACGATCGTAAAATAGATAGGGTGTCACTCGCGTGTTAGGTAGGCGCGCGTAATTAGTAATAATAGAACAAATAGAATAATACATAGAAGCCTCGATATGCATTAAGGCATAAGTAAGTGCAACGTCGCCGCAGTCGTTGTCTCGTCATTTTCTCGAACGACGTGTGCAGTAGTACGCGCGCGCGGCAGGCAGATGATGCCTTTTTGAAAAGTAGGCGCATAAAATGTCTCGTGTGCGTGCCGTAATATATTAGCGCGCTTTTCAATTAGCCATGCCTGCATAATCAGCAGAGCCTAGAATATACATAATGTGCGTTAGCGGCAGCAGAAGCAGCAGCGGCTCAACGAAGTATAGGCAAGTTTTTTTGCGCGCGGCAGCAGCAGCGGTATATAATATATAAAGCTCGCCGCTGCCATTGCCGCTCGTCGTTACAACGAAAATCCATTAACATTACAAAGCTGGAGAGGCGCGAGCAGCGGCGAGCTTTATATGCGCGCGTGCAGTACGCGCGCGGATGGGATTGGAAATCGGTCAAAGCGTATAACGTTGCCGCCGCCGCCGCCGCCACCGCCGCATGCAGTACTACGTGTGCACTGTACGTGTGCAGTGCAGTCTCTCATCGAGAAATAATTAATGCATCATCTGGGCCTCGCCCATCGTAAAATAGCAAATAGTGAACTGCACGCAGGCGCTTGCCAAGCAATTACTTCTCTCTCTCTCTCTCTCTGTCTTTCTCCTTTCGTTTTGCAGCTCGACGCCGTTCGAGTTTCTTTCGCACCCTGCTGAGAGAGCTGTCCCGCACGTATATACCTCTGTCACAGACTTGTATATACGTATCGCCGAGAGAGCTCGTATAAACCTCTCGATAGATTTTCAATGTTTAGATAATTTAGTCTACGAGGGCCCTGCACAATAAGAAACTTACAAGTCCAAATGGCACACAACGACGAAGACGAAGACAAAAAGCTCTTGTGCTGCTGCCGCTGTCGGCATGCAGCTAACGCCTTTGGCTTTCTGCTTAATTAAGGTATTCTATAATCAAATGACTCGCTGTCATGCGACGCGAACGTTCGAGTTAAAAAAAATATAACCAGTAGCAAGACAGTTGCACGCCATAGGCGAGGACTCAATTACTATGCACTCGCTGTGCGCGCACTCGTTGTTTTTCGTACCCTGAGTAATATGTAAAAATCTTGACGCTACTATATAGGAGTTAGCTGCCACTTTCTTCCATCCCGATTAATGATAGTGGAATTCGTTTGTTTTTCAAATCTGCGATAATCGAGCTTTACATACGGGAAATATATATAGGTTAAAACGGAGGTAAACGGTTTTGCAATAAAATCGGTTATATCGTGTGTCGGGGCACGAGCGAAACGTTGGGCAAAGTCGAAACGAACGAGTGAGTAGTGCCATATACGAGTGGTCGTCGCGCCCCGTCGCTTCTCGTCGCACTATACCAAGTCGGTGTAAACTTTCTGGGCGATCGGGGGTGAGTTTTATTTTGCAAGCTCCTGCACATAGAGAGAGAGACATGGTGCAAAGTCATCCTGCATGTATGTATATGTGTGTGTGTGTGTGTGTGTGTGTGTGTGTGTGTGTGTTGCTGCGCACGTGTAGCGGCCCGCTGGAATAACTGATTACAATTGTTGAACTGGTGCAACATCTCTCTCTTTCACTCTCGTCTATATGGCACGCAGAGCTCGTCTACTCTTGGATGTTTGTATGTTATGTATACGTTATACGTAGATCGAAATAGTCGCGGCAGTCGTTGGACGGAGAGGCGCCCGTGGGGGACGCCAGCTGTCACGGCAACGAGCCAACTTTGCAATCGGAGACGACGCGCTGCTGCTGCTGCTGTCCCGTCGCTCGGTAAGCCGTGGCGCGGAACGCAGTCGCGACAGCAGCAGCAGCTACTCCCGAGCCGCCGGCGCAGCTCCTCTCGTTTTCGAGCATCGGGGGATCCCCGCCTCGATCTGTTTGCATCGGGCCGTGAGAGCAGCGCGCGTGCAGAATGCGAGAAAAGCAGTCGTCTCTCGCCAACCGACACTTATGTATAAAAGTACCTAGTTTCTAGGGTGGCCACGATTTCGGTCAATTAGTTCGTGGCGCGCGTCCGAGGTCAGCCACGAGCCTTTACTTTCGTTATATAATCGAACGAAGAGATATCCATGCTGTGAGACTGTCGAGCGATCAACAGAGCGCGACATTCAACCGACTAATCGCTACTGCTTCGCGAGGGTCGAGCATGGGGGCACTTTGCTGACCGATATTATGCATAAATGACTATAGGCTACACGCGGCAGCGGTTGTAATGACAGTCGGGTGTATACGAAAACCGAACGTCCAAAGCGGCGCCGACGAGCTCGTGGCTCCATTAGCGTTTCAAGTCATCTTCGTCGCGCCGCTCGACAGTGCACGCAGCTTGCACGCACCTGTATTACCTACCACCAAAGCGATATAACGCTGCTGCTGGTCGATTCGGCATTGTGTCACGCTACAGTTTAATGGACCCTGGCAGCGGCGAGAGGCAAACGCATTTGTAATCGACGCCTCAAGAGTCCATCAAGCTCTCTCGACTATGCAGATGTTTGGTACGCGACGCGTGTCGCTGAAAAATACAGCTTAATCAAAAGTCCTCGAGAAAAATGTGTGCTTTCTATCGAGCCCTCGATCGAGTCGCGAAAATGTTCAGTCTGGTCTTTTTTTTGTGCTCGAAGCTTCACTTAATTCATGCTTGTACATGCAAATACAAATGCAGATCGTTCCATCGAGCGAATAAAGGTCAAAGGGATGTATTAGAGGAATAATATACATAGCAGCTGGTAGGCCACTGGAATCGGGGGATCGATTAGGAAGTTGGCCTGGAGGTTATACCACAGGAGCGTGGCGGCAACAGCATTCATGTAGCTGGCAGCAGCGCCGAATAGAGTAGACCACGCAGCCGAGCGTGATTGATCGATGCGGCTTCGCCGCGATGCTATGCGCGGATTGTTGCCGCCGCCGCCGATACCGTGCCGCTTTCCAATGCTAGATCTGCGCGTTTGCTCGGCTGCAGCCAGTTGTTATACAACATTGTTGATTTTTGACCTGCAAGCGCGTCTTCGACTTAACTTGATCAAACTTTTCCTCAAGTGCGAGCAATATTTTCCCTTCCACGCTCTAACTCGCCTTCGTTTATAAAGCGAGTCCGACATTTTATTCCTTTTTATTCACTGCATAATTTTTCACTGCATAAACGAACCCAGATTTCGTTGATCATCCGACTAGACTCGTTCCACGTTTTAAATTAGAAGAAAAGCTCGATCGAGAAAGTTTAACAGCAGCCAAAGAAAAAAGTGCTTTAAGGGTACGGCATATATCAGAGAAGAGAAAGCAACAATTTTGCTCTACACTCGCTTAGCTTGCCATTGACCCACGCAACTCCTCGCATGCCGTGACTCCCACGCGAATGACTCGAAGGCACGAATAAATTCCTCGCTAAATTATGAACGCCTTGTGCGGCAGCTTATACGCCATATATATATAAACTGAGTCAAAGTATGCAAAGGCTCAGCAGCGACAAGACTCGTGCGACTATATATCGTGCCTAAATATTTTGTTTTCCCTTTGCACGGTTTTGACGCATCTCGCCAGAGACTTTCATCTAAACGCATTTTCACGCTGTCGCGTCTCGCAGCATATATTATACATCTTTTACGTGCACGTCCCGTTCGGCGCACGTACTTTTTCGGCGAGAATAAATAATAGCTTTCGCAAATTTTCCCCTTGATATAAATTATATCGTTCAAAGTGAAATTGGCCGCTTAAAGTAATGAGTATCTTGTTTATGTTACAGAAGTTAGAGCCAGCTGGGACGATTGGTGGACCTACGATGGAATTTCGGGTAAGTCGATTCTCTATTGTTTTCAATAAGTAGCTTCATCAAAATAATTATTGATTAACCTTGGTAGCAGAATTAATCATTTGTTGACTAATTATTGGACATCTAAATAGTTTCTTGGACATGAAAGAGCCATTACAATTCCTGCATGTTGCCACTTCGGCATACTTTGTGATTCAAGATGCCCTGAATTTATTTAGACTATTTGCTCGCGCTTTTTTCGATCATTTCAATTTAGTTTACAATTATGTCAAACAAATCGTCCAACGACGCTTGGCTCACTAGTATTGGTTTGTTTGCTTTACCGCTTTGAATTGGAGTAGCAACGCCTGTTTCAAGTTCTGGCTAGATTCGTTTTCGGACTGCGATGAGATTCTGCCTTGCGACCGTTTCTGGAAGAGCAAAACTGCCTGAGCTTGGCAAACAGGAGGAAATACTCTTTGGCGATGTTCACATGGAGACTACTCCAAACTGGATTACCTGGTCACCTGGATCAGCATTTTAGGCGGCTGGACGTGACCGTCCGCAGATCAGTTCGTTTGGCGGGAGATCAGCCGAACATATCTGATATCCGAAAGTGCAGAACGAACGCATAAACCGCGTCCTTCTCGCGCTCGACCATGACTCTTCGAGAGTCACTGCTCGGCTATGTGCATCGGCACCAAACGGAGGTTAGCTTCAAGGCGGATATCTTCAGATGTCTTTGGGAGAACCAGTAATGTCAGCGATGGGCATCGGTGTTCCTTTTTGTAGTTAAATTAAATTTATCGATTAAATTGGAATATCGTTTAGTCAATTGGGGTTCCATTTTCTATACCGTGTTTCGACTAATATCATTACTTGGACTTGGTCACTTGCAGATTTACAGATGGAGGTACTTGCCATCTAGCGGTGAAATCTCATATTATTATATTTTAAGTAGTTGAATACTGGCCTAAAATTTGAAAACAATTATATTGTCATTTTCTGCTCATTTGATTTGCGCTTAATATTTGTAACATAATTGAAACAAAAAAATAATCTCTAAGCACAAGTCAACAAATAGTAATTTTTTAATCTTTTACTCATTATTAATGTTCAGCAATTCTACCAAAGAAATATTGATAGCTTTATGTAGTTCCGTTAGCAAAAAGGTGAATTTTTCATCTCGTAAAACAGAGTACAGGGTAAACAGAGTGTATTATTGTAATTCCTCTTTGACACGTTCTCGGAGAATTAAAAAAAGAGAGAGAGAGAGAGAAAAGCGAATTGTATTATTTGAATTTTCAAATTACAATCTCAATTCAAATTTGACATATTCAAAGCGCGTACTACTCGTAGCTCGAGACACCGCAAAAGAATAAAGTAAAGAGCTCGAGGTAAAGAAACGAAAAGAAAGGGGAAAGGCAGTATTTGTTCTTAGCGCACGAGCAAAAGGTAAGGGTGTTGAATATTCAAATTTTAGCAATTTTGGCTTTTCGCCGCCACCGCTGCCAGGAAAGAGAAGTCTCCGAGAGATAGAGAGAGAGAGAGAGAGAGAGAGAGAGCACTTTGGCTCGGCATCGTCGATATCGTTGTGTAGATTATCCCTTGCTTCGAGACATCGTTTACCTAATTTTTTTCATCAAAAGTTACGAGTGCCGCGCGGAAAGAGAGTGAGAGAGAATGAGAAGAAGAAGCGTACGCAAGCGAAGAACTCGCGCCAAGACTTTTTTTAATTTTGCTCGCTGCTGCTGCCTGATGATGCCAGTGTGTCGGTGTGTGGCGTTTTTATTAAAAGCTGGGATTGCACGCCCTCTCAAAGCACACACAAACACCGAGAGAGCTTATGAGCCGTGCTGCTGCTGCTTCAAGCCACCTGCCATATCATGTCCTATGTAAACACCACCTATAGCGGCAAACCTATACACATGCATGATGTGTATATACGGGTAAGTCGAAAGCTCATAAACACCAAAATTTCCATCCACCTTGCGGAGCTGCTGTATGGGCCAATATTCCAAGTTTCTTTTGTCAACTTTTTCCATTGCTTACTGTGTTCGTGTGCGCCGAGGCAATGTTTTCGAGTATGAGATATATCGAACCTTCCCTAAATCACATACGAAAGGAAGTACGCTCATGAATTATTTCGACTTTTTTGAATTACAATGTCTTCATATTGAGAACCGTGTAAAAAATGTTCATTATTTTCAAGGTATTCATTTATAATGATCTTTCTTTATTTTAAAATTTCTTTTGAAAAAATTACACCAGAACTTTTTGTAACAGTCACGAATTATACACTCAGATAGATTCAATTTTTATTTTCGCTACTTCACCCTAAGGACACTGAAAAGAAAGCTTCGAGATCCAAGCCGTTCTCGATATTTGTGCTTAAGAAATATTCGTTCGTAGATTTGCGAATGAGTGACGAGTTAGTAGAATGAAAATCTAAGGTGCATTGTGCAGTCCAATTAGATATTTTACTTTTAAGTACAGCCTAGCGGACATTTTCTTTTGCAACTCGATAAATGTACTCAAACACGCTCTCTCATCTTTCTTCTCAACTTTTTTTCCTTTTTTTTTCACTTCATGCGCATCATGCGTATTATGCGGAAGATTCAATTAAAAAATTGCGACTGTAAAGACGGCGAATTTCTATGTCGGTATATAGCGGCCGGGCCCTATACCCCTTTTTTCCTAGTTTTTCCTCTCATTCTCTTCCCTATATTTCTCGCTTGATCTTCTTATTTCTTTGGCATGCAAGCTTTCTCACTTATTAAGAGCGCGTGCGCGGGGCAAAATCTCGGCAAGCCAACTGAATGATACGAACTTATAAAGTTCAAAGACAAAGGACGAATATAAGCCAATGCTCAGAAGGGTCATTGTTCGAAAAGAATAATAAAAAAGCGTTGGCTGCTAATTAAGAGTACACTGCTATACGTATGCCTCTCCATGCTTTAAACTTTAAATGAAAATTTTTTTTCTTTAACAATATTTCTAATTAACCCTTTTTTTCTTCGTATAATGCCTTGTGATTGTTTAGCTCATTGAAACCTGCTCTGTACACACAACGCACACAAAATCTGGCATTGCGTTGACTGTTTTTATTAAAAGCTTGAAGCCTTTTAAGGATATACCTCGGTAATATTTAAAATCTGTGCCATGGCTCGCGTTGATGGAAGTATAAACGATAAATTTCAAAATATATGCTTGAATTAGCCTCTCAAGCGCCTCGAGGTATCTATCTTTTGTCGTATTATACCGCACAATATTATAAACGCAAAACGGTCATACTACCGATCTGAATAATTTTTGATAATACAAGTTTTAAAAGACAAGGTAATTAATTTGCTGCTCGAGTGGCAAGACAAACACGCATTAACATTCGCTCGTTCTTTATTGTATTCGTGAATCATCAGTCAGGCAGCTCGCGGTGGCGTCGGCGGCGCGCATCGATGCACACCGCACACAGTTGGCTCTGTTTCACGCGTTTGCTCAGCTCCTATACATATTCCGTGCGGCGCTATGTGTAGGTACATGATACAGTTTGTGCGCGTAATTACGCGCTCTCAGAAAAGTGCATTTGAATAGCGAGAGTTCGGGCGACTCGTCTTTTTGTTAAGCGCGGCTTAAAATTAGCAGCTGGAAAAATCTCTCTCTCTCTCTTTCTCGTTCGCGCTTACATGCTAATCTGGCTGGAACCAGCCGCGATGGTGACGGTGGTGGTGGCTGGCTCGCAAGCTCGTTGCGGTTTTAAATGAAATTATTAAAATGCTGTGAATTAACGCGAGCCGACACGGGGCTGGCACGACGACGACGACGACGACGACTCGTTCTCGGAGCTCGGTATGGCACACCGACCGACCCTATACCGCTGCTGCTACAGCTGCGTGTCGACCTCGCTGCTGCTGGCAACCTACGCCGCCGAGCGCGACACGTTGTTGAACATGCATGTATGCATAGAATATGTTTGCCACCCTCGCGGCCCCGCGCCCCAGCTCTGGATCCGCCGTGTGTATGTGTGGGCAACTCACTTTTGCCTTTCGCGCAAGCATATGCATACGCATGGGACATTTCATTTAATATTGGACGTCAGAAGTTTAGGATCGTTGAAAACTTCGCAAACCCAATGAATTTGACGCATGGACCAAACTGAAACTTTGTTTGTCACCTAGCCCCTCCCGCTGCCGCCGTACGCTATACGGCATCAGCCGTCTGTGCAAATATTATGCAAATTTAAATTATTATCATTCATACGAAAGCTTTCAAGCCGGTCATTTAATTAAATCCTCGAGTAATCCTTTTTAAGAGTTTCGTAAAATTAGTTTAATTTCGTCTCTTTCTCTCTCTCTCTCTCTCTCTCACTCTCTCTCCTACACCGTGTTTGTTTTCGATCATTTGTGAAAAATGCACAATCAACTTTCTAAGAAAAGTGGTACCGCATCGTTTCTTCCAGTGACACTGAATTGCGATACAACATTTTTGATTCCAAAGTTTCACAATAAATTCCACGAACTTTGAGAATGCACAAAGTAGTAGTTCAACTTCGTGGCCCATCGTAGAAGTTACATCGCATATAGTATTACATATTTTGATACGTATTTGCTAATATCTAAGTTTTAACCGAATCTGAGAGTCCAGTGAGTTTCTCAACGAACATATAAGTTACGTGTAAACTACCTTGCATTTTTTCCATTCCTCGATACGGCGTCTTGTGTATTCACATTAAGTATAACTTTGTATTCGCGATTAAATTAATGTCAGTCTTGGACTTTTGATGTCAGTTTCCATTGGATACATTTGTAAGGATACGATTTCGAACGAATTTCGTTGCCATGTATGGCGTGAATAAGATAAGTTTTCTTGAACTAAAAGTTTTGCTATACAAGACCCTTGCTCTTAATCTTCGCATGTTTTCAAATAATCATTTTTAAAACCAACGAAGTACATTAAAAGAATTCACAAACGCGCCCCTCCCCAAAACTTTGTCATCATTCGTTCATTCAAATCCAGAAGTAAATTCTAAATTAAAAAGATGCAAG